TTCCCCCCTTCTCCGCCCCCCCCCCCATCCCTACTTACCAGCATGGAGTCCAGGTCCAGCTCCCTACTGCAGTGGGTGAGGACTGTCCAAATCACTGAAGCTCTTAGAATCTTTTCTGAATTAATTTGGAGAGCTTCAAATCAATTTGAACCTTTTAATGAATCTTCTGATTCAATTCAGCTGAATTGGGCCGAATCTCCTCTGAATCAAATCACCACCCGGCACTTTGCACAACCCTAATGCACAGTAGATTAATTCTACTGCACATTAGCTCATTGCCATGGTATTTGCCTGATGTGCTAATGCACAGTAGAATTGGTCTACTGCACATTTAGTGTCTCGTGTAGGTGCGCAACCTGTGTGGCACTTTCATGATTGTCCTCATAACTGAGGCTTTCTACAACGGTAACTACAGTCAAGACTCAGCATTACATCTAACCAAACCTTAGCTGAGTGCACCATCTTTTTCCTCCTCCATTTTTCCTTTACACTCATCATATAGGATCAAGAAAGAAGAGTAGGGGGAGGTTGAAAAGGAAAGAGGGAAGTTGGGAGGCAGGATGTGGCAAACAAATGCTTAGAAGAGTCCACAGTCTTTCAGATTTTCTTTGACTATTATGTCTGTCACTGCATCAAAAACAAACTTAACATTCTGGGTGTCTGTTGCACAGGTCAGGTGAGTATATATCTCCTTGTCTTCTTTCTTTACATTCAAGTCTAGGAACTGTTTCTTGATATAATTTCCTGCATCTTCAAATGTGTTTGCTCCTAGTTGGAGATAATAATAGAAAACAGAAACAAGACACTTTCAATTTGGGCATCCTAATCGCTACTAACAAAGAAGATTTTGATAGGGGTGAGAAGTGAGAATGGGAAATGGGAGGGAGAGCATAGGCACTTAACTTTAGGTACCCAAACTTGAAAATGTCAAGTTTGAATTAGCCATTGAAATCAAAATGTCAGCATAAAAATAAATCATCTAATGTTGTGAATGCTGAGTGTCTGCAACTGAGAAAGAGTAAGTGAAAGAGCTAGGAGTGTTAGCAGGATTAGGATTGCAAAAAATGATAGATGTGGCAGGAGGGAAGAAGGGGAAGGAGTAAAGAAATTGAAAAAAGAAAAATGCAGGAAAAATGCATAGGTTTAAGGGTTCAAAGTTCTTTTTTTTTAATGTAATTTTGCCTGCACTCACAGAAAAGGGATGGAAGACTGTTCTGAGGACTTATTTCAAACACAGGGGAGGATGTGAATCAGGTGTCTTTCACCTACTTGTTGCCTGGATATAGTAATATCTGGATATGGTGATATCTGGGTCTACTCATGTTTATGGAGGGCCAGAGTCTCAGCTTATGTAAACTGGCAAAATTCCACTGGGTCTAGACCATACTAAGTATCCTAAGTTACAGAAAGTAAAGCTCTACAGTTGGGCACCCAAAATTGCTAGCCACTTCTGAAATTCAAGGCCACACTGTATACTTAGGATAACACTCTGGAATAGTGACACATTTTTCAGTTAGCATAATGTCATATGATTATGTAATATATATTCCACTTCACCAACTAGGAGTAACTGCTGTTTTTTATCTGCAGAGAGAATTCTGACATCCATAAGAGAACAGGCATTTACATTTATGGAATGTTGTTAGATAATGCAAGGAAAAAAATCCAGATGCCGACATGGGGTAAGTAGGTGAAACACCATTGACCTCCACAAAGAGTAATGGTGACATCATCTCCTCTTGCTCTAATAACCTTCTCATTAGCCTCCACATTGACTGTTTTTATGTAGTATTCCTCTTGAAGCCTAAAACTTACCGTTGTACTCTGGAAAGCAGACACGCAGATGAACTTTTGTTATTTTCTCTTGGAAGAGATCTTTCTTATTTAGAAATAGCACAATGGAGGTGGTTGCAAAGTACTTGTGGTTGCAGATACTGTTGAACAAGTGAAGGCTTTCATGCATTCTGTTCTGTAAAGAAGCAGAAGTTGTTCATTAGAAGCTGATAAATTCCATTCCCAGGCATCACTCTTCATCTATATCTCTAGCTATATCTATATCTAATGTGTGTGTATAAACTTATTTTAGTCAAGAAGAAATACTGCTTAGTCAGCTTTTAATAGTTATTGTGAGATGCATTAATTCTTATGTGCCATCATTGCATTAAAACTTCACAGAATAAGATATTATTTTTTCCTTCCAACTTACCACTTCCTTATCTTCTACCAGTACCATGTCATAGGCACTAAGTGCAGCACAGAATATGATGCAAGTAACCCCTTCAAAGCAGTGAATCCACTTCTTTCTCTCTGATCGCTGTCCACCCACGTCAAACATTCTAGGCAAAAGGAATAACATATGTATCATGTATAACAGTAAATTATGAAGTCTTATTTATACCTTCAAACTTACAATCTCACCCAACTACTACAAAGCTCACCCAACTACTACTCTAATACTCTTTTTGGAAAGTCAAAACAATCTACATATTACTTACAAATATGTGGTAGAGATGAGGCCAATAGGTGACGCTAAAAGCGACGTGTGGTGGATCCCTATATTCAAGCAGAGCACCAGTGTAGTCAAGGGGGCTTGACAGAGCTGCTCAGTGAAAGACTGGGCTCTAAACTGCTCATAGAAATGAACTAAGGAGGCCCTGGCTATTAAAAAGACCCTCAATATAGTATTATTTTGTTTTTTAATTGTAACATTTATAGGGAACTGATCAACATAAGATTACTAGGAATCCAATCACTAGTTAATCTACTAGTTATAATATATTGCCTAGTATGGGTGCTATTTGTTTTCTTTATCCTTCCTTGATCTGTTATATAGCTGTGTAACTAGCAGGATCTCTTATAATGTTTTGTATGTTACATCTATTTTGTGCCCTGGCAATTTCACTCTGTTGCATCTGCTAAATGACATGCTTGCTCCATAATGAAAGGAAAAAAAAGGATTTAAATATGGCTGTTATTCAAATAAGCATATAAACACGTTTTATAGGTGCAATGAAGGCTGGAGCGAGTGCAGAGCTGGAAACCACCAATCTTCTTAAACACAGAAGAAGGTACCATACCATCTGTGGGGGACTGAGCTAAGACCACTTTTTTTGCATCACAATCCTACAACACTCTCCTGAGTTGGAGATTTCAGTATGAGAATCTGGTTCCTTAGGACCAGCATGGTCAGACAGAATAGAGGCCTTAAGGTTCTCACTTATCTTCACATTTCTTCAGGTACCAGGGATGAGCGTTCTTCCTCTCTCCTGTTTTTTGGGAAAAGTTTGGCAAACTTTGAATCCCAAAGTTAGTTTAAGGTGCAAAGTCCTTCTTACATTATCTCCATCCTTTGAAAAATATTTTATATTTGAAAATCAAGCCACATTTTGCACTTTATGGTGAGGGGCTGACATTACACATAAACTGGTTTAAGTGATCAGAAACTGGTTTAAACCTATAACAAAACAGATGTTCAGGATACATAAACAAGTTTGAAAATGGCTGAAACTGGTTTTTGAGATAAATCTGGTTGAATGTAGTATCAGACTTAACTGATCTGGATCAAATCAATTTACGAAATGTCTGTCTGAGACCCCATGCTGGTTTAAGTTAAACAAGACTCCTCCAGCATCCTGGCATGCTCTCTGGGCTGGGTGGGACTCTCTGCTCCAGAGCAGAGCCGCTCTCTCCCCTCTGCTCCCTGGCTGGGGCTTGGCAGAGACTGCTGGCATTTGCCTGGCTTCCTCCTGCTCTCCACCTCCTCTCCCCACCCTGCTAAACAAGGACTGCCTTATCCCCTCTGCTTTACACAGACACCTCTCAGCATTAGCTAGCAGACCACATGATGGCTATGGTCTGTGTTGTGGTAGATGGGACAAAGCAGAATTAACTGGTAGCTGGTAATGTCCCTTTGTTTTCTTAATGGGGTGATAAACCCTGAGTTATGGGGAGTCAATTCCTTGCTGGGCTGGTCAGAAGTGTGCATGTGTGTGAGGGGGAATTGCTCCCTAATCAGAGCATCCTGCTTGGCCCCAGTCACTCCCCACCCCACTTTAGCTTAGCCCTATGGAAGGGAAGGGAGGGCTGCTCTAGCACCTCCCCCCATCCCGGTGTCTAGCCTGGGATGTCTGTACAGTTACAAACTGATTTAGCCTAGCCAGGTTAGACTAACCTGCAAAGGCTGAATCAATTCAGTCACAGGCTTTTTGTATGTCTGTCCCTAGCCTATGTGGGAGTGAAATGCAGCTTAATTTTGCTAGCAACAGAAATAATAAGATTCAATAAGAGTGAATCAGTTTTAATTGACATGGCAGGAATCTAATAAACATGGCAGCAATCATTTTTTACAGAAATTGTTTTTCTTACAATATACTTATCCTCTACTTGGTTCACCATGAACAAATTGAGTCCTGAAAGTTAGAAGAGATTATTCATATTTCATATACTGAATGAAACTCTAATTTCTAGAGCTGACAAAAGAGTTGGAAACAGCTTTTTCGGGAAATTTAATCTTTTTCTTTTTCTTGCTCACAGAGTGTCTTTGAACTTGAGCTTTGTTAATTTGTTAACCAGTACTTGATATTCAAATGTTGCTTAGATCCAGTTGTACACATGCACCTACGGCTTTTGTGCATGTTTGTATGTGCAGGGGCAGATCCAGGAGGGGGTTGAAGTAGTGCAGTTGCACCTCCTTTTGATTCCTGGTCCACCCAAACTTTAATACCAGAAGTCTGGGAGGGACAGTGGCATTTCTATTCAGGCAGTGCTGAAAGAGTGGATTGCCTTCATGACTAATTAACATTTTCCCAATTCCTGCGAATCTGTCTACACTCTGCAGGTGCTAACAACCCTCTATCTTTTTCAATAGTCTTCATGGTCTACTCTTTAAGTTGCCTGACAGCAATTTGTGGTAATATCGTTCTTCTGTTTCACAGCCCTTCAGACTGTTTTTAGCTCTAGCTAAAAAACGGAAATCAGATATGGTAATATTAACTCAGGTATAGAAATGACTGACAGTGAAGTATTGGAAGCACTGTCAAAATGCTCAAGAAGCCTAAATTTTTCACAGTCTAGCCACATATAAGGGGCTAATTCTTTGTGTTTGTCCTCAGGTAAAGATACCTGAATATAGGTAGCCTTATTTAAATAGACCAGCTCCCAGTCTGATCAGCAGGACTTTCAGGTACAGAGGATCTCTGAAAATCATGTCCCATTTCAATGTATATTTTTTTTTAATTTTGAAAACAATAGTTGTACTTCTTTAAATGTTGAAAGAATGACTGGCAGAGCACAAAGAAGATGAGCATATGCATATGCTCCATTTAGAAATACTTCTAAAGAACACAGTGATGGCAATGTCTACAAGCTGCAAACTGTAAAGCTAATATTGCTTGTGTGGCTTTAATTCTGCCCTCTTTCACACAGACATCATGTTACAATCTTCTGTGAAGGAGATACACAAAGTTTCTTCTGTATCATCTGTAGATACACACAAACCTGACATTGAGCCCAGCAGAACCTGCCTGCAACTGACAGATGCCCGTGGCTGACAGACAGTGTGGCAGGGGAGGTGGAGTGCTTGCCCATGCCTGGCAGCCTGGTTGGGCTCCATGATGCTGCACTTGCCCATGGGGATTCTCCTGGGTTCAGTGTCAGGTTTCTGTGTACATCATGGAGTACTTCATGACAAGATTTGTGACAGACACAGATGCCTCCCCCCACCCCACTCTACCTGCCTGGGGCTGACAGTTGGCTAGACATAGGAGGCAAGACTGCAGAAAGTATCCGGGCCAGTGCTGACTCGGTTCAGGGAGAGCTCAGGGCTAGGGCCCACTGGGTGCTTAGCTGGAGCAGCCAAGGACAGGATGAATGCAAGTGCAAGGGGCTTATCAGGGAGCTGCAAAGGAGCCTGGGATGGTGGTGGATAGTGACCTAACATAAATCGATAGGGGATCTGGTACAAAAGTTTGATTCACTAGCCTAACCTAACTCGATTAAGTTTGAGTTACATTGATCCAGGTCTATTTTAGATTGAGTTCTGCCATTTTAAAACCAGTCTATGTGTGTTGAACTTTTGTTCTGTTATGGGTATAGACTAGTTTCTGATCACATATACCAGTAAAAGTGTAATGTCTGTACCTGGCCTTAGACACTAAAGATTCCATTTTGGGGGGCTTAACTTTAGGGATCTAAAAGGTATCATTATATATTTAAACTTGGAAAGTTTACAGACAAATATTTTGCCTGTCTCAATAGCTCAGTTCCCTCAGATAAAAATGAAGGTTCAGAGATTCTATGACTGGGTTGTTAATGTTATAATACATGAGTGTAACAAGTGCGCTTCCTGGGGCCAATCTCAATATAGGCCTGCCCACTTGTTTCTGGGCTAGCCACCCTCCCATCTCCTGCCATGCCTTGATGTTCCTCATTGTCTGATGTTAAATCAGGTGGGAGGCTGCCCTACTGACAAGTGCCTCTGCATACACTTCAACCTTCCCTTGATGTGTCCCATGCCTCACAGATGTTTCATATGGCCTAGTAATAGGCCTCATCATCACATGGCTTTGCAGCCAGCCCTATCCTTGGGCCTATCATCCCCTTCCATAGGCTCTAGGCCCTGTCCTCAGGCTCCAAGACCCATCAGCAGGGCACAAGCCTCTCTTGACTCTCAGCTCTGTCCTTGGCCTGCCAGCCCCATCCCCAGGCATCCCCACAGGGCTCCAAGCCCCTCTCTGTCAGACTATGGTTCCTAGCCCTGTCCTCCCCTGGAGCCTCACACTTGACTTCCAAGTCCCTGTTATAGATAAACTTACCAGGGATGTGGAGGCTGGGATTATCAGGTGCCCATACCTGCCTTTCACCCAGGGTGGTCTGTTACAATAAGCCATATTTGATAAGTAGTACCCAGAAAAGTTATGTTATCTTTTTAAAATTGTTCTCCCCCTCTTTCCCCCTTTCCCACCAATCTTTTACAAAAATCTAGCTATCTGACAAACTGAGGAAGTAGCATCCAGGTAAAATTTTCATACCTGAAGTTTAAATCCTTGAAGGAAAACTGAGTCTCAATAATTCCAGTTGTTTTCACTCGGGAGTGTAGAACATCTTGCTCATTGGGAATATACCCAGGTGCTGTCAACCTGTCCAAATCATTGAGATAGCTAATGGAATAAGACAGAAGTTAATAATCAGGGAGTTGGAGGAGATTTCTGATATATCAGTGGATGAGTGATTATTTTTCTCATACAGAGAGACCTGAGTTTTGTGAGTCCCACTACTGTAAATCTGAAGAAACTCCACTGAAGTCAACAGGGTCACATAAGTATAAGAGCAGCTTAGCAGGAAGAAAATGCCATCTTCAATGCTGCTTGAGTAGCAATTAACATTAAAGATTCAAAATGTGAAATATGCTACAGTAATCATCCATTAACCAGCACTGAGGCACTATTTGCCTGTTTAAATCAGCCATCATTGGGTTCAATTGTATTCTGATATATGCCACTGATAATACATAGGTTTTAATGGAGGCCTGCCATTTTAAGTGAGAACATAACACGCCTCTGAGATATTTTTTATCTTCCACAAAAATGCAAAGCAAACATTTTAGTAAATGGAAATTACCAAACTCTTAGAAATGGATCTTCTGGGAATTATGTCAGGTAATATTATCAGACAATGCTTCCAGATTATTACAATCTCTTTGTGTCTCTCAAATGAAATGAGAACATGGTGGTTTGGAGGAATTCATAGCTAAGGGTTATTTCCCTTCAGCCTGAAATTCACAAGATAAAGGTATAGGCCTGTTTTTCTCTTCTTGAATTTAGTCACCATTTTGTATTTAGTATTTATATTGCAGGACATTCTGGTGGCTTCCTGCCATCTTGGTGATCCATTGCATAAAGATCATGAGAACAACCATGAAAGAGGAAATATCAGTCTCATTCTTATAGATGAGGAAATGGAAGTACTGAACATGCTCAGGATCACATATAAAGTGTGGCAAGAGAGGGAATTGAATAAGAGCCCCTGAATCATAATCCCTTTCCCACCATCCATCTTTTCTCCTCTCCTGTAAGTACAAGCAACATAAAATAAAGTGGGAATTTTAGTGAGTTTATATATATAAATGGATTTTTCCAATTTATATTGAAATGCTGAACAAAATTAAAAAGCAGAACTACACAGTTGGGATATATTGTTCGGCAGTGGTTGCCATGTTTTCTAGGTTTTATGGGTTTTTTTTTCATCCCTCACAAAAGGTCTGGTCAGCATGAACTGCTGCTATACAAATAAACTCCAGATCTTATCATCCCAACCAGGCAATATTCAGTGTATTTGCAAAGTAAAAAACATGCTAATCCTATAACCTTTCAGCACTTGCAGGTTAGTAACAAATGGTTTGTAAGAAGATTCATATTTTAAACTCAATAGCCATCATCCATGCAGAAACTACTGAAACTGATTATCAGCATTTCCATGTCAACCCATTATTTCTGTCCAGTTGCAGATGCACACACCTTATTTTAAACCTGCCATCTAATTCTAGTTCATTGATTCTTAGTTTTGCGCTCAGAACACATGTATTAACAGCTGCTGTAACTATAGGTCAAGTCTATAGAAATCAGGAATCACAGCAGTCTTAACTATAAAGAATATAAGTAGTAAAAGACAGACATCTGCATGAAAATTAATATACTCACACCTTGCCTCTTAAATGCAAAGAGGAATCAAGTGACTAAACAAACAAGTACAATGTATTAGTAGTAGTAATGCTATAGTTCACGCAGCAGGTTTTCAATAGTCCTGATTTCATCCCTTTCTTCATTTTTCAGCAGCTGATTTATTACTCCCTAAAAGTAGATGTTCACTAGAATTCAATAAGCCTAACATTTTAATGCTACTTTGCAGCAAAAAAAATAAATAAATAAAAGGGGAGTGATTAAACTTGGTTTACCAAATCTGCTAATTAAAGAATAATCAATTACACACTTGAGGTCTGATCCTCAGCAGGTATAAATTGGCATCTGTCAGGGGAAGTCAATAGAGCTATCCCAATTTACTACAGTTTAGTTCTAAAAGCAACGCAATCGTTACATTGGAAGGCTGATTGGCTTCAGTAAGCTTTAGATTGATAATTAGAAGCTTGATGGCAATGACAAAAATCACAGTGACTTTAATAGTGCAGGGTTAGGACTAAGACAGCATCTTTTGAAAGGTATTCAGGCACCTAAAGATGCACAGAGATGACTAATTGGATTTTTAAAAGTATCTGAACAGGTGTTAGATGCATAATTCCCATAAAAATTAATGACACCCCTGAAACAGGTGGTTCTTGGATAATTTATTTTATTACTTAAATATATATCTGGCTAAAAACAAAAAATAACATAATCCATGTCCATCACATCACATAATCCGTGTCCATCCATGCTTTTCTGAAGGCATTTACCTCTTTTCATAAGTTTTCAGTGTGGAATAGGAGACAATACACTAATTTAGAACATAGGAGACCTGAGCTCTCTTCTAGATGTGCTACTGACCTACTAGGTTATCTTGGACTTCACCTTCTCAGTTGGGTACAGACATTCAAAAAGTCCAAGGCAGAATCAATCTAAGTTACATCGGTTTCTGTAAAAGACGTGGTTTAGATTGGTAGTGAATGGGACACACATTTGCCTTTTAGTGGTGGAGGGGAAAATCTTAGACTGGGTTCCACTATTTTTAAACCAGTCTGTGTGCTGAACTTCTGTCATGGGTATGGACCAGTTTCAAATCACTTATATTTCTAAAAGTATAACATCTGTACCTGGCCCTGGTGGCTAAATTTCCTAATGTGGAAGCCCTTAGTTGTCATTCATTAAAATAACATGAAGATAATGCATAATTTCTCTTCTAGATGTGCATGGTGGGGGAAAGAAGGACTAGCAGAGTTTCACCATACATCCCATAGCCATACTGGCAAAATATTAAAAGAATGTGGGGAAAAAAACTGGTTTACTTTACACAGTTGCTGCCTTTATTTTTAAGGGATCACTCAAAAATTTGGCATGATCTTTATTATGCAGGCTATTGAATTTCAGTGAAATTTTCTCTTCTAAGTAGTCCAGTAACTTTCCTTTAAATATCTTGCAAGCAATGATCCAGTTTTGAGCTGAAGACATCAAGAATGGGAAATCTCATTACTTCCCTTGGTAGTTTGTTTCAGTGGGTAAGTACCCTCACTTTCTTTGAATTTATTTGACTTCAGCTTCCTATCAGTGCTGCTACTTATACCTTTCTCTAATAGATAAGAAAACTTTATCATTTTTTTACTACTGAAAAGGTACTTCTAGCCAGACTCCATTTAGGAGGAATTGCAGAAACAACTGAACCAAAAACTGCACAGGAAAAAGGTGTAAAATGGGAGCTGGGTCTGCCCAGTGTATCCTGAGACTCAGAAATGTGGTAAATTAGGATTTCTCTGCCTCACCCCCTCCCCTCTCCTATATGGCTAGCAGGGAAAAAACTGCAGATACATTCCTCATAGAGTTTGCAGCTTTAGGAACAGCTACAGCAGAGATCTCTGGCCTGTATCTGCCCTGCAGCTGTTGGCTCCAATTCTTGCCTTTCTATTTCTCCTTTAAGGTCTTTTCCCTAGGGCGCCTTAGTAGTTCAAGATCAAACCCAGACTCCACAAAAAGCTTTAACTGAGAGGCAAGGATTTCTTAGGGTGGTATCTTTTATTGGTCCGACTACATACTTGGGATAGAGTTAGACAAGCTCTCAGATGCAAGATATTCTTCATCAGCTCTGACATGTCTTGCATTTGAGAGCTTATCTAACTCTATCCCAACTACATAGTCGCTCCAATAAACGATATCATCCTAAGAAGTCCTTGACTGTCTCTCAGTTTCTGGACCATCATGGATAAATCGCTCTTGCACTACCTTTAATTTAAGGAAAATTTAATTCAGGTTACATAAATTAACTCACATTAAAAGAACACCTTTTATCTCCAGCATAGATGTATCTAATGAAAGAAACATCCTATTATTATTGAGATCTGTTCACTTGGTTACATGATTTTAACAACATAGGCAGACCAAAAATAAGCCTGGTTGCTAAATCCCCACCTTTCTCACTATGTATTCTGTATATGCTAGATACTCTAGATTCTAGAAAAGAACATTAAAAAACCCACAAAAAACCTTTTAGGACTTGCTAACGACCAACTAGTTTGAGTTATTTCCACAGGTCCAGCCCAGAAGTAATTAAGCATTCAGCTATAATTCTTGTAACTTACTACGCAGCTGAGTCATTAAGCTGGTATTCTGCAGCCCTTTCAAAGCAGGCCTGGATCCCTGGGTCTTTCCACAGTCGTTTTATGACTTCCGCTAACTCAGAAGACATGGTACCTTCATCCATAGAGTTTGCCATAACGTAGAGTTGTCCTTCATCTTTCTAAAGTAAAATTTAAATGAATTGAGTGAAACCATATCATATCACTTGGCCTCCTAAATACGCTTGTTTTATAATGAACAATGATGGTTTAGGGATTTCTCAATCTCAGTCTTATTTGTAACGCTACTGTATGACCCCATTGCCTATCACCCCACACACCGGCACACCTCTGAAGCTGGACATAATGGGGGCAGAGAACTTTTTTCTGCCTTCTTCCTGTAACAGGGGTCTATTATATCCCACCGTAGCTGCTCACATCAGACCAAGGCTACACAGAGTACTTGTATTGAAATCTCTAAATATGTCTCCTGAGCCAAAGTAGGAGTGAAACTTTAGGCTTAAATATTTTCTAAGGGCATTTTTAATACAATTTTGAAAATAATTAACACATTTTTCTAGCTTTGGGGTATTACAGAAAAAAGGTTGCTAAATGAATCCAACTAATGAATGCATTTCTCTCCCAATCTGATCTTTAAGGAAAGAAACTGTAATTGAAAAAAAAAAAAATAAAGTGTTCTTGTTTTAAATATAATCTTTCCTAATTTTATGTGTCCTTTTGTAGTCCATCAACAAATGACTGAAGGTAATGTATTCTGTAGATTTCTTTTCAGTAGTTAATAGCTTAGAAGAATATTTCAAGAAAAAGCGTGATTAAAATGAGGTCATTTGATACAATGTCAGAGCAGTGGAAATCATAGAAAATCATGTAACATAATTAGACACCTGAAATGACTCTCTCAGTACTCCTAAATTACAATTAAAGGTGTTATAACATTTAGAGCATAAAATTGTGGTTTCCTCAAAAGATAAAATTCTTGTTTCTATAAAATGATTACAGTTTTTACATAAAATATTTAGAAATTAAAGACTTGTTCTGTTTTGTTTGATATCGACATTTGCCAACCTTGGAAAAATTGCAGTCTGGCAAAAATGAAACACTGAAATTTTGACACGACAATTTTGCCCAAATTTGAGAAACTTTGAAAAGTATGCATAGAGGAAGGAGAGGAGAACAAAATAAAACACAAAATATTATATTCAGTGGCAAAAAAAGATAAACCCCTTGAAGACAGTCTTATCAACCTTCACTTAGTGTGAATAACAATAACAAATTGGGCCCTATGTTGTGCTTCAAAATAATAAATTCAGTAACCACAGCAATTAAAATGGCTTTTTTAGTTTTGTGGTGGAAGGTATTATTCAGGGAAAAATGAGAAAGGCAAAGAAAGGTAAAAGATAAAATGCCAGAAACACTGAGCAAATCATTCAATATCTGAAACCCAGGGAGTAGACAAAGTCCTATAGACATTATGGGCACCTGTACACATGCCCGATGCCAGCTCTGATTTGTGCTAATTAGCAAGTGTAGGAGCAGACTACGGACTAATCAAATTTTCTGGAGTGTGCTAATTATCATGCTCCAGCATCCTTGGCATGATGTATTCAGCATCCCTATACTTCAAAATGGCAGCGGAGGTGCTTTAACTAAAGCTTGTTGAACAAGCTTTAGTTAAGGCACCTCTGCTACCATTTTGAAGCACAAGATGCTGGAGACATGCAACACTGTGGGTGCTTTAATTAGAGTGGCTCCTGAGAGCGGCTCTAATTAAAGCACCTCCTCTACCCCGGGGCACATGTAAAGACACCCTATGTTCTTTTTAGTGTCTATCTTCTGTTTCAGTCCTCAGTAAAATGCAAAAACCAGAGTCAAATCTTCTTCAGAAGTTTGACAGAAATGGGTCTCCTATACCCCAGAGTAGTTAAGTACAGAGTGCAAATGGATGCTGGACAAACCGGTATAGCATTTCCTTTGTTTTTTTTCTCAAATGAATGAGTTGCTTACTGACAAAAACCCCTGGATTTCATCTGCTTTGCATAAATATTTTTTTAATCTATTTTAGACACCCCCCTCAGGTTCACATGCTCTCAGTACGGGGTTTGAACAAAACCCACTTAGTACAAGGCCTAGTTGAAACCAGAGTATTACCTTGCTCAGGTCAAAACTATGAGAAATTATAAAGTGTATACAGTGTTATGGAAAAAAAAAATCATTTGACCTGGCTTCACCAAGAAGGGACATTCATTAGAGACATTGAACCTACCCAATATAAATCTCAAGTTTGCAGTGAAACTCAAACCCAAGTGTTTTAAAAATGATGAGGTTTCATTTGAAATGGCAATTACATTTATAAAGAGCTTGCGTTAAGAATATAGTTATACTACACCCGCAATTCTGTTCCTACAGAGACATTTTCTTATTAACCTCAGTGAGAGCAAGAGCAGGCTTATTACAGTGTAAAGGATAACTTAACAAAATTTGTATTCAGCAAAAATGCAACCGAGCTGTTTAATGAATGTTTTCCATGTAGCAGCTCCATAACCCATGAAAGTTATACAAAATCCACTCTCTAACCAGTGTGGACTTCTGAAAATAATTTTGTAATGCTTGCTGTGAATCTGCCTTTGATGGCATCACAATTGTTTGAGTGACTCAAGACTTGGAAATACAAGTAAATATGAGGGGAAAAGTGTTTTCTATCCATTTCCCCCTACTATTATGTTAGCTATTGTGACAGATGTATTGTGACATAGGGCATTGTTTCGATCAAATTGTGAACTCTATCTTGTTTTGTGAACACTGCTTATTTCTCCATTTCTCATTTTAACTTTCATGTTGGAGTGTGACCTTTGTGTTGTATTGCAATATCCACTGTGGACCAGAGCATATATTTTTGTAGTAGTCACTTGATACCTAATGGATTGGCTCTACTGAAAAAAACCCAGTAATAGAGCAATCTTGAGCCAACAGCTCTAGTTGTCCTAACTACCATGAAAGTGAATCTCTATGCAGAAGTCTCAATGAGGGTGGGGCCCGGAGTGCCTTGGACTGGACACGTACCAAATGGGTCAGATTGGGAATGTTTCCTAGGAAGGTAAATCTATTGTTGCATGTCAAGAAAGGCCTGAAGAAGAGAGAAGGCAGGCAGTACTGACCAAAGTTAAGTCTCCTAGTAGGCACTCAAAGGGAGTGGGGTCAGAAACATTTGTTGTGTTTCCAAAGATAGATAACCATCTTTGCTAGGTCTGTGTTCCTTGTTTTCCTTCCGTGTTGTTCCTATATCAATATGCTAAAATCAGCCCCAGTTAGACAAAAGCCCAAGGGACAATGCATAAGCACCTGAAGGGAGTAACTTATGTTGAAGATTGGTTTTTAAGTTGTAAGACAGTAGGGTTGCCAAACTCCACCTCATAATAAAGGTCACTAGGCCATTAAGACCTTAAGCAGGAACAGTGATCTTTGTCTGCCTGAATCTGGCCGTCTTAGGATACAAGGAATCCAGAGCATGGGTCCACTCACAACAGTGTGTCTGGAGGAAGGGTATGGGCCACTAATGTTGCATTAGCACAGGCTTCTGAAAATAACTTTGTAACCTGTTTTTCATGAATCTGTGGGGGGCGTTGTGTGAAAATTCAAATTAATACTTGAAAATTCAAATGAAAATGAGAAAAGAGATACATTGAGTTTGTCATTTTTTATGTTAGCTGTAACTTTTAGCAACCCATGAAGTGTTTGTTTATTCTTTTTAGACCAAATTACCATATGCCTTTGTACTGACAAAATGACTTTCAGAACAAGAACAAATTTCAGATAAGCACCTGCAATTCACGTTAAGATAACTTTGGGGAATAGGGAAAACCTGCCAAAATTAGAAAAATGAGCTGAAATTCTGGCTACACTCGAGCATTTGAGAAGTTTTCAACAATATGTACTTATGTTGGCAAAGAGTAGTCATAATACAGAGAAGGAAAATGTGTCCCTTCCTTTATTTTTTCCCTGTTGTTTCCTTCAGTAGTAATAACAATTCTGCGTGCCAACTATGAAGTAAGATACTCTTTTATAGGAGGACGTGGGGACTACTTGTAAGTCAATTTATCAAAAGAAGAGATCTAACATTTTCATGATCTGTATGCAGCATCAGCACATAACAGAGCTGTAAGATAACTGATGCCGCATGAATGGGGAGAGGTGGCGAAGCTCTTTTCTTCTCTTTTACTACTTCCATGATCACGCTCTGTAGGTCACATTTAAAACCCTCGAGTTGAGCTCAGGGAGTGCAAGGTGACCTAATCAACAGTGTTAAAAAGGGTAGAGGAAGGAGAAGAGCAGTATACCAGCAGGCAAAACCTTCCAGTTGCATAGAAAAGCAGAAAAGCGGGGTCCCCTTGCAGTTAGTGTGAAGTTTCTGTACAAAAGGAGAGCTCTGGGACCACAAGGGGGCAGCATACCCCCTCTAGCTAGTCCCCTCTAGCTTAGGGCTCTTTCAGGTTCAACTAAGTACAAACTATGTCTATAAAAAGGAAACATTTACTGCCATTCTTAACAGCAATGAACAGAGTAGCTAGCAACTACAAAAAAATGCTCTGGGATTTTATCATTTCTTTAATAATGGAGGCCGGTTTATTTGGTTGTGCTCTCATCAGTTGTGTACAGTAATGTGTTACTCAAAGGGGTAGACTTGAAACATCAGATTTCTGGGTTTTAGCCTTGGGAAGTTAAGATTGAATATGTGTTTCATAAGCATAGTTTTGTCCCAAGAATAATTCGAGCAGTATTACATTTCCACTAGGCTCTCAACGTTTTTTTTTGTACCAGGACCCATTTGTAAACATCAGTGGGCAGTCCTGATCCAGTGCCCCTCACTCCTGACCCACTGCCCCTGCCCCCTCCCCAAGCTCCAGGCCCCAGCCCTGCCGTGTGTGGGGCATGGGGCCCCCAAGCAGCCCCTCAGGCTGGAGCTCTGCCAGCCTGCAAGGGAAAAGCCAGTTTCCCACATTTGTTCTTTAAAGGAGTATCCCTTTTTAAAATCTGTTTAAACCATGTTTAAAGTTTGTTCATGACCCCTTCATATATTCTTGCACCCCACTTTTGGGTCACAACCCACAGGTTGAGAAACACTGCACTAGAGCAAAGCAATGGTTGAACTTTCTTAACTGTTCCTGCTAGCCCCCAAGAATTCATTACCTTGATACAAAAGTTTATACACTTGAACCTTTTTCAAAAGCAGTGGCATGCATGATACTCACTATACTGGTTGGGTTTTCATAAGCAATTCCTAATGTGGACATTGCCTTCACGATAGCCAGGATAGACTGCAGTGTGTTACTGTAAACGATGGGTCTGAACTCCATGCGCTCCTGATCTGTGAAACCATCTTTATGGATGATCCTGTGTTGCAAACAGAAAAATGGATCTTAGATGACTTTAAGGGAAAGAATCAAGACAAAATGGATTTTGTGCTTTTGCACTGTGCTTGAAGAAGACGTTCATGTAACCAGGTTCAGAAAAGACACTTGCTGTTCAGGAAACGTAACAACACATCTCAGCAAGATAAGAGATCTGCAAAAAAATTATGTGTTGCATATGCTTCTCCTACTGCTTCTCTTCTGGGTGGTGGAGTTATGTGAGATG